ATGGCTTTGAACTTAGCTACCAACCCACCCAGTGGTTGGAAAGGCCTGGAGATCTGCTTCCATAAAGATTACAGCCAAAAAAAACCCGTATGGAACTGAGTTCTACTCTGTAACAAATAGAGTCGCCATGAGTCAGAATTGAATCCACACCAATGGGTTTTTTTTTGTTTTTGTTTTTTAATAGACACCTGGGTGGCACAAGCGGTTTGCAGTCAGCTGCTAATCTAAAGGCTGATGTTCAAACACAGCGGCTCCATGGAAGAAAGGTCTGGCAGATTGCTTCTGTAAAGATTACAGCCAAGAAAACCCTATGGAACAGTTCTACTCTGTAGCACTTGGGGTCACCATGAGTTAGAATCAATTTGACGGCAACAGGTTTGGGCTTTTTATATTTGCATAGTATAGAATGAAGCAAAAGCCTCCTGGGTTAAGACCTAAATTTCCAATAATACGGAGATTTAAAAAAAAAGAAAATCATACTGAGATAATCTTTAAACCTTAAACCAAAATATCCCCTGAAGTCATCTTAAAACCAAACAATGGTTTAGCATAATTAGTAAAAAAAAAAAAAAAAGGCCTGCCTTGAGCATTATGCTCTTTTAAGAACTACCTATATGGAATCAAATTGACAACAGCAACTTAAATAGGAACCTTAGGGGGCAGTGAGTTTATCTTAATGAGGGAAGAACAACTCAGAAAAAGAGGGTGAGAATGATTGCACAACTTAAAGAATGTAATCAATTTTACTGAATTGTACATGTAGAAACTGCTGAATTCGTGTATGTTTTGCTGTGTATACTTTCAATAACAACAAAATAAAATTTAGAAGGAAAAAATCACAGCTTATCAAAATGAAAGAATACTCTGTAGACATTAATAACTGAGAAATCAATGTAGAAAAATGTAAAAATGTGTAATAATGTTATACAGAAAAAGCACACATCCCTCTCTCTCACACATAGCAAAAGGATGGGTATACCAACTACAAATATGTAAATATATACAGGTTAACAGCTAAATATGAAAAAAGAACAGTGAAATTACGAGTGACTTTTTTCTCCCAGTGTTTAAAAAAAAAGTTTTCCCACAGCAAATTTTCAATTAATTACATAAGATGTTTTAAAATAGCTTATTTTAAAAAGAGACCCTTTAATAGATCAGCATCTAAAAGTACTGGAGACATACAACTAGAAAACAAAACCACCATTTATTGAACATTTCTTATGTGTTGGCACTGAGGTATATTAATGAAGACATATATTAAATATTCTTATATTAATCCCTTACAACACAGGTATTATTGCTCATACCACACACAAGAAAAATTACGCTGGTTACTTCACCTCTTTCAAACATTTCCTCAAATGTCGCTTTCCTAATGAGGCCTTCCATGATCAACCTAACTAAAGGGGCAAACCTTCTCCATCCCCCGAATTCCCTATATATCTTCCCCACCTTAATTTTTCCACAGCACTTACTACCTTCTAACATACTATATAACTTGTTTTCTGCCTCCCCTGACTAAAATAAAATAAAAGTTCTACAGCAGAGGGACCTTTTTTCTTTTTTCTTTTTGCATTGTGTCTGCTAAAACCCCGGCATCCAGTAGAATATCTGGCACAGAGTAAATACTCAAATATTTGATGAATTGATGAACAGCTGAATATACTGATGAGATTCTATGAAGTGGTTCTGAAAGTCTGTTCAACTCAAAGCCTTTCCACATCTTTAAATCAGAGTTACTGAGTACAGTATATATTGCAATAGAGGTTGATGAGGCAAGAGGGTAAAGTTAGTAACACTGCCGGCAGGAAACTAACGTGAGAAAACATCTTTTGCTCGGAGAAAGACAATTCTGTACATTAAAATGTATACAAAATGTGGTACATTATACTCTTTGACTTGTTCTCTTTTACTACGTATAAAATATGATGACACAGGGTTTTACAGTCTTGAACTGGGGTGGGCAGACAACTATAGCTGAACTGTGTGATGAACTGAGCCTGATACAGGGCAGGTTTACCCTAAGCATGTCTCCTGAGTTCAAAAGCTATATGGGGTAGAGAATAAAGAGCTAATCAGAAAGCCTCTGGAAAGGAAAGCAAAGATTTCAACAGCTCCACACTATTACGGAAACTAGGATTAGAGTTTAGGACCCACCTGGGAGAGGGGATGGGTAAACACCCAGGCTCTTAGGTGGGATACCTGGAAAGCTATGTCTTAGGAGCAAAGGTCCCCATCAGAGATAGACTGAGGCTTACCAGAACTGCAGCTCTGCCATCTCTGAGATGATCACCCTCACTCCACCAACACACACACACACACACACTCACAATCTGTTTATTAGAATGGTGAAACCTCTCTAAAGTGATATAACACCCTGGCAGCCTTTTTACCCTGTCTTACACAATGCTAGGCATTCAACCAAATTATCAGACACAACTAAATAAACGATAACGAGAAAGCATCAGACAATGGAAACAAATACAAAGTTGGCTCAGATACTGGAGTTAATATTTAACATCTTTATATGCTATATCAACATGTTCAATAAACAGAGAAAAAGATGGTAAGTATACATCTGTTTATCAGAGGATTATATTCTAAAATAAATAAAATGGAAATTCTAGCATGGAAAAATAGTAAAATTAAGGACTCAGTAGATGGGGTTTAGCAGCAAAGTAGACACAGGAAATTTGGTAAACTACAAGACAGGTAAATAGAAAATATCCAAGAATTTAGAGTAAATAAAAAAACATTTTTAGGAAAAAGTATCATTGATTTATATGATAATAATAAACAATAACAGTTACTATGTGCCTGTCACTATTTTAGGCATATTACATTCAATTCCTACACAATCCTGAGATAGATACTAATCTATTAATATCCTCCTTCTACAGAAAACAAAACTGAGATTAGATAATATTCCCCCAATCACCCAGCTATTGAGTAGATAAACTAGAATTTGAATTCTGATCATTTGGCTCCAGGCTCCACGTAATCAGTAACTAATAAACAAAAGTAATGAATAACAATTGCAGTTTGGGTGAGGTAATTTTATTTCTTACTTTCATTTCTATTTAAATCCCTCAACATATTTAGGCGGAATTAGTGATTAGTGATTACTCCAATCTATTACAAAGCTGACTTTGTCCATAATTTAAAATTAACTAGAAGGTGGGCCATGTTGTTTTTACACAGCCCATCTGAGGAAAGCTTGGTCAGTTTGGCCCACCTAGTCACAGCAAGGAAGTTACTCAAAATATAGGTAAACTTAGAAGGAAAGAAACACTATACATGGTATCAGTCTTGAAAACTCAAACTTATAAAATAACATAACATACAATACAAAATTATGGAGGAGAAATATTCATCATAAATATTCAAAGAAGGAAACAGTAGAACTATCTAAAAAGGCACTCATAACATCCTACAAAACCCTCATGGGATGCAAAAAAAAAAATACCATTTTGTGTACGCCATGTGACAGCAGAGTTTGAGCTGGGCTCAGTTCTTTCACCCCATGTGGGATTACAATATGATTTTTGAAATTATTCTGGCATGAAAAACTTCCTTTGTTCATTATTTATTGAGAAAGCCAGCCATTTTCCACCTAAAAGACTTCTCTAAATGTCCATTACCCTGACCTTTGATTACCCAGAATAGAAAATATAGAATGAATTTGTAGTGAGAGAACATAAAAATGTTGGGAAAAAAAATGGTTGTAAAGGCATCTTTCTGTAAAACAAAATACCATTGCTGTCAACTCGACTTGGACTCACATAGCAACCCTATAGGACGGAGTAGAACTGTCCCATAGGGTTTCCAAGACTGTAATTTTTACAGAAGCAAACTGCCACACCTTTCCTCCGCAGAGTGGCTGGTGGGTTCCAAACATCAACCTTCTGGTTAGCAACTGAGCGTTTATAACCACTGAGCAACCAGGACTCCTTAGAAATAAACCGCCCTCACCCCTCCAAAAAAAAAAACCAAACATGTTGCCATAGAGTAGATTCCAACTCATGGCGACCCCTTGTGTTACATAGTAAAACTACTCCATGGGGTTTTCTTGGCTTAATCTGTATGGAAAGGAGCCCTGGTGGCACCACAGTTGAGCACTCATCTCCTAACCAAAAGGTTGGTGGTTTGAACCCACCCAGCGGCTCTGAAGGAGAAAGACCTGGCGATCTGTTCTGGTAAAGATTATAGCCTAGTCAAGATCAAAGCCTAGAAAACCCTAAGGGGCAACTCGACTGTATCACGTGGGGTTGCTATCAGTAGAAATCAACTCCCCAGCACCTAACAACAGCAACAATCTTTATGGAAGTTGATCCCAGGCCAGAAGCCTCTGGGTGGGTTCGAAATGCCAACCTTTCATTAGTAGCTGAGTAAAAACCATTTGCACCACCCAGGAACTTAGAAGTAAAGCTCACCAAAAAATTTTAAGTTCAAGGACAACCAGTGTCTATACTATGGCTAGATAATGTCCTTGAACATCTGGACGTAAAGGATTTTTAGTCTGCATTTATAGTCTTGATTTTTAGGAACACATTTTTAAAGGACTTGTTATAATATCTAAAGAGTTAACACACTCTGCACAATGTTACTCTATGCATGAAGGTGGGCAAAGCAGTCAAATCTAGGTTTTTGGCTTCTGGAAGTGGCACACAGGATCCCACGTTCTTCCCAGGCATATCTAATAGGGGGAACTCATCACATTTCCAGAAAACGTCAAAGACTAAATTCTGGACCTGTTAGGTCACAGAATTAATTTTATTTGTTCAATAAGAATTTAAAACCCGGGATGGAAGAGGGCAGGTGTGCTGTCACGTTGTGGGGATTGCAAGCAGTGTCACGGAACAATGTGTGTATACATTTTTGAATGAGAAATTAACTTGAGCTGTAAACTTCCACCTAAAGCACAATATAAAAAAAAATAATAATAAAGTTCTTCAAACAACAAAAAGCTGGTAACACATTTAAAAAACAATGCTTACCTTTGAATATTTCTGTAACTCGGCATCATCTGCAATGTGTGTGTCCAAAGTGGCAACCTAAATTTACAAGAAAATAAAGATTTCCAGTATTTGTAAAAGCATAAGTTTATTTCTTCCTAAATTTTATGAAAACATCTGTAAAACTTGCATACTGATAACTCCATCTGACCTATATTCTAATTTCTTACCTATATTTCTGTAATGCCTAAGTATAACATATAATGTAAAATTTCAGAATGTTTGTGATTTTTGTGTTGTTGTTTCCCACAGCAAAATTTTTTTTTTATAAATTATTCAAAAGTTGAACAGAAGGTGATGGCCAAATACATATATTATTTTTAAAAAATCCATGATCCCTAAAATTTTAGTACAATCCTCCATTATAGTGAATCTATAGAAATGTCACCCTTTTAACAAAATCAGGAGTATGGCCACTTTACTTTCAAATTTAGAACTAAAAACAAAGTTGAGAAGGTCAATCAAGTCATATGAGTTTGGAAAAACTGAAGCATCTGACTTTGCACAGCCAGATCAAACCATTTCCCCAGGAGACACAGCCGGCAACGACACAAACAAAAAGACCTGGTCTCTGGTGGGAGCCTCATGGGATACTTAAAGCTTTTAATCCTGGCCTAAAACTATTGTTCTACGCTTCAATGGTGGACATCCACAGAAGGGAGTTCTTTGCAAACAAAAGTACTTCACTGATGATTTGCATCTGAAAGTTGTTAATAAAATACAGTGCATCTGGAGGGAATAAGTTAAACAATGAACCAATTAAAGCTTCTAAAAGTACTGTACTTTAGATAAGTAGATCCTGGAAGTAACCGGAATAAGAAACTTGGCCAGCAAGTATGTATATACATATGTATGTGTGCGTGCACGTGTGTGTGTATGTAGGCATTGATGGATGATTGTGTATGTGTTTATTATTTGTTCTTTATTTAGGCTGACTTCTCCTTTCTGTCCCTCCTACCTGAGAACAAGAAGCTAAAACTCTTAATGAAAAAGCTGTCCCTTTGGAAGAGTGTGCTGTCACATTATAGGGAGAGCAACTAGGGTCACATAACAATGTGTGTATAAATTTTTGTATGAGAAACTAACTTGAAGTGTAAACTTTCACGTAAAGCACAATTTTTTAAAAAAGCTGTCCCTTTAAGCTTTTAACTTCAAATTCTGTTTCCTCCTTCTAGCTCCTCTGTCATGACCTATGTGATAAATGAAATTTGGAAGCATGGTTATAATGACGATAAAATTTTCACTGGGAAAAAAAAAAAAGAGCCCATCACAAAAGTGGCCATTTGTAAATACTGGTACATAAAATTACTTTGAATATTAAACTACCAAGGATAGTAGGAAAGGTCATTTGCTAGGTGATAGCCTAATGACAGTGTTTGAAATCTATGAGGTTCATGAGACCTGAGAGGCAAGTACAGAATTAGCAAGAAGAGAAAGTATGGGCTGTTTTAACACTTCTTAATGTCATTGGGGAGGAGCCATGGTGGCACAGTGGTTAAACTGCTCAGCTGCTAACCAAAAGGTCAGTGGCTTGAACCCACCAGCCACTCCACAGAAAAAAGACCCGATGACCAGCTTCCATAAAAATTCCACACACACACACACACACACACACACAAAAAGAAAACCCAAACCCACTGCTGCCAAATCAATTTCGACTCATAGCGACCCTATAGCCTTGGAAATCCTACAAGGCAGTTCTACTCTGTCCTATAGGGTCACTGAGTCGGAATAGACTCCACATCATAGGTTTATTTATTTATTTATTTTTTAATGTCATTGGAAATTTTCTGACAATAGGTCGTGGCTGGATATTATGAACCAAGAAGAGAGAGAAAATCTCCAACTGGCCAGCAAGTACTAATGATAAACATATGTAAGAAAACGTGAACGACAAAAGAAATTTAATAGAATATTTTATTACTAACGCATTTGGTGAACACCGGAGAGGCTTTTCTAAGCACAGTTTTCTGCTTTTATGTGGATTCATATGGGAAAATGTAATCAATCCCCTACTCAATGAATCTAACAACAGGTGAAAGGAAGTCTAATGGACCACCGGTATATAAACATATACCTAACCTAAATTACTTCCTGTTCTCCCAAATACATTTGATAATCATTCTTTCATTTTTCTCATAAAACTGCAAGATTCTTTGTGAAACATAGGACTAATATCCGCAGCCTTTTCAGTGTACAATAAAACAAACAGATCATAAAAGTAATCATGAAAATGCCAGCAATTTTAAGCAGCTGATACAAGTTATAAATTTAAAGGCAAGCCTTCTGTCTCCTCACATTTTTCTGCCTATTGTTGACTTAAATTGTTCCAACATGAGCTGAGTGTCTGCTAATTGTCACTGAAGCCTGTGCACCATTCTTAATTGTTCCTACAGCTTAAAAAGCTACCAAAAAAAAAAAAAAATCAATTGATTGAGTCAATAGGGAAAAAAGGCAGGAGGATAAAAACAAAGGCAACCCGGCTATTCTTGGACGCTCCCGTTTCTTTAAATTGTAGTATTAGCAGCTTGACATGAAATGAGACTTGAGTGTTTTTTATTAGAGGATTTCAACATACCATTACTTCATAATCAGGGCCCAATAGGTTTTCCCATCTGAATTTCAGCTCATTTTCTGGAGAGTCTGGGACTCTTTCTGGATATAAAAAAAAGAATATTGAAGCTACTGTGAGCCAAACACACTTAACTATGAAATTCTTCAATAACAGCACAATTTCAGTGAGGAAAGGAAAATGAATAAAAAGGAAAATGCATTAACTTTGGTCTACTAAGTAAAGTAAATCAGAGGAGACTTACAATACTAATGTAAAATGTAAATAGCAGCTGTGACAAAATTATGAAGGGGCTTTGTGGTTAAGGAATATTTTAAAGGGAAGAGGAAATGATAAGTTATAAATGAAATTTGAATTATATACAGTTTATATGTAAACATCCTGTAGTTTACAAGTAAAATGCATCTGGCTTTGCTTTATAATATGTTAGGCCATACAAGGATTTAATTTAAATGTTAATCACTTCAAAGTAGTACCAGTCTACCCACCTATTAATAAAGTAAAAACAAGATATCTTTAGTATCAACAAAATATATCAACACAATCCTATCAGATTTTTCTGCCTGTGGTGGATATAAAGTCTAGTTTAATTCAACCATTGAGTTGCATGAGCTTTAATACAGTAGAAGCTTACACTAATCTTTTGAGCCCCTTGGTTATCTGGATGTTTATATCTTAATGACTTTCTTACCGGAGTGTAATATCGCCTTTGTTGCATAGGTAAGATCATTTTTAAAAGCTAAGACAGATTTTAAGTGTCTGGCCTGTCCTCCATATGGCCTTAGCCAGAAGATCACTGCACATATAAAAGTTTGTAGCCTAAACAATGTTTAACAGATAACAAAGTACTAAAACTGTAATTTCAACTTATATCCATAGCAGTAGCTGAAAATGAACAAATCTTCACCATTTTTCAAGTTAAAGAAAAACTCGATTTTGTCACAAGATTGGACAAGTCATTAAACACTTATCACAAATGACAGCTCATCTTGGATGGATATAATGCTTAATTATATAATACAAATCATTACGTAAAACAGGCTAACCTCAGAAATCATAGACTAAAACTAATGAATACTGATGAACTTAAAGTACTAGATTTAAAAAAAGAATATCCATGAAATAACTATAATAACTGATGTGCTGAACTACATTCGGGAATAACTACCCAAAGATTCTATTAAAAACAAAGTATCAAACTCTGCACCTTTGTGGCTATTCTTGCTAACATTTCCATATGAAATTATATTAAGAGTTCTAACATTGAACCTGTTAAATTTCTTCTAAGTAGCAGTTTCTTTGCTAAGCTATTTTGAACAAAATTTACCACTCGTTGCTTGAATTCAAACTTCAAAACATAGTACTCAAATGACAGTTCATACACATGTGTAAAATAATGTCTACATCTCACCTACCATTCTTTTGACTACATTTTTTACCTTTCAAGGTAAAATACAAACATAGACAGCCATGTGTTTAAAACACAGTACAAAGGCCCAAGTGTCAGACAAGAGATTAATTTACTTTCACTAGCTCAGTAAATCCTTGGCTACACAAAATGATCAACAAAATGAATATGACAATCTGAAACAATTATTCCAATGGTAAAAAGGAGAGCTAACTTCATAGGAACTAGAAAATTTTGGTCTTACTCTCAAACTGAAATTACATATACGCATGAAGAAAAGAAAATGTAGTGAGGTTTGATCCAAAAAGAGCAGATAAAACATTTTTAAAGTATTTCTAACTTCAGAATATATTTGATTTTCTCCTAATAATTCACTGAAAATCCACCCAGGAACTCGCTTGAATTAAAACAACAGAAGATTAATTGCAATCCACTTGAGTAAAAAGAAAAGGGGAGGGGATTCCAAATGAAAAGGAAATTTTTTAACTTTCATTAAGGGTTAACACCTTCCTTCAGGCAATTCTTTCCAGAGACAAGCCAATCAAAGCCAAAAATTCTCCCACAAAACTACTCTACAACATGAAATGGAGTTAAATATTTCAAGTAGTTTCATTCAACTGGCAAGGCTTTCCTGAGCACCTTCATGCAGGTAATTGTGTGAGACCATTATCCAATATTCCTGCAGGACAAAGTTAACTATAATAGCTGAGGTGTCAAGGTACAAAGCAAAAGGGCAAATTTGCATATCAACTAAAAATAAAGAATAGATATATAGCAGCAGCCTGGCAACTTGATAAAACATATAAAAATATATGTACTATTAATTTTTATGGCGAAAAAGAACTACCACTATATGCGTACAGGTAGTTATATATCTACAGATATAAATGTAATATCAATGACAATATACAGGCTAAATGATGCAGTAATTTAAAATATTAAGAAAAAAATAGTCATCACATATTAATAAATATGCATTCAAAATTAATAGAATTAAAGATTAAATAAGAATATGCTTGGTCTCCATCAAGTCCCCAAAAGCATTAAGATGTTGATATTAAGAATAATCTATTTTATATCTCCAAAATGTCTCTAACATTCCTCACATTATATTAACAATGAAGGGAGAAAAGAGTTAACAAATGAAAAACTCAAATGATTTCAAAGTGAATGCTTTGTGCCTACCCAGTTTTTCTAAGACTTGTATGTTGTCATTTTTTTGATTATCCATTCTTTCTTCAATTTCCTCATCTTCATCATCCAAATTAGTTTCTGTTTCCACAGCTCCAGTTAGAAAGAGGGCCGGTATTTTTGGTGGTTCTACAGAAGCCCCTAAAATAAGAATTGCTAATTTGAATCATTAACATATTTATTAAGACCATATTTACATGAGCTTATTTCACTCCTGCTCTCCTGTTTCACTACCTCCGTACAAGCATCTCCAATGACTTAGATCTAAGATTCCTTGATCTAAAATGCCGTGTATGATAACCGTATCATTAAAAAAAAAAAAAAAAACTTGTGGGTAGTATTGTAAAGAATAAGAAATTGGTCACTGGGAAGAGAAAAGTGAGGTAAACTTGATGGCAAAACTGGAGTAGATTCTTTTCAAGACAGAAGAAAAAGGATGCTACGATCTTTAGTTCCCACGCTGTGGACAGTCAAGAGCCAGGACATGCAGAATAAGCCAGTCTGACTGTTCTGGTCTCGCCTAGGTCCTGGCATGACATCATCATGAGTATAACAAGTCTACATATGTAGCCTTATTAATTGGGTGGAAGTTGGAGAAAAATTACCCCAATGCACGTGGAGATTGCTTACTTACTTAATTGAGCTAACTGAAGTAACAGGAGTTATCCAGAGTTTTTTTTATCTCAAGCGTGATAATCTAAATAATTAACCCAAGATGGAGTCACTCATGCTGAGCCCATGTTGGCAAACCAGCGGAAACCAAATAAAGTTTGTCAGGTTCCTGTTTGTCAGGACCCACCAGTTTCCTGTTTTTAACAAAAAGCAGTTCGACCCTTACTGTTTAAACCCAAGCCAAGTAGCTAAAGTTTCCTATATGCTTGTTACTATAAAACTCTGACTCTTTTATTCCCAGAAGCTCCAGTCCGACTTTCAGGCCTGATGCTTCCAGATTCCCATATCTCTAAATAAAGTTTTTGAGTTCTACAAATTAATTTTGTGAAAGATTTTGTTTTAACACATGCAAGTCACTATTACCTCTTAAACACAAGAAAAATGGAAAAACAGTCCTTTAAAGTTATTTTTCAAATAATCACACATCACTTATAAAGTACTCTTACCGAAAATATTTAACCTGAATCTAAGGCTTTAGATCTATCTTCCAGCTCAGAGGAAACACAAAGGAGAGTGGGAAGAGTTAAATGACACAACAAGAGTTAAATGAAACAACTAAACTCAGAACACGGCAGGCTAGTGACAAACGAACTGATCCTTCAAAGAGTCCATGTCATGAAAGCAGGGGTGGGGGCTCTTCTAGATTAAAAGAACAGCAACAACAAATGCAGTTAAGTGCAATGCACAATTGGATCTTGGTGGCTTTTGAGGGGAGTGTAGGAGGTGAAGTCATAAAAGCCATTCTGGGGTAAATGGGGAAATATAAGTATAAATTTGGTATTTTGATATTAGGGAATTACTATTAATTTTTTTCAGTATGATAATGGTATTGTGGTTATGTACTTATACCCTTATTTTTAAAAGATATAGGCTAAAATATGTAGGGGTAAAGTGTCATGATGTCTACCACTCACTCTGAAATGGTTCAGGAAAACAAGATAATTAAATAGAAAAAGAAAATACGGCAAAATGTTAACTGTTGAATCTAAATGGCAGGTTTTTAGGTACTCATTAGATTATTTTTCAATGTTTCTGTATGTTCAAATTTTTTTACAATAAAAAGTTGAAAACTATAACTAGTGGAAAGTTCCTATAACCATAACATGAAATTCTATACCGAAAATACGTTTTAGCTCCTTTGTGCATTGAGACCCATTAGCTGCACAGCCATGGGCTAGTATAAAAAATGCCCACGAGTGTCACTGGGGAGAAGAGAAAACAGTCCGCAACAGAAAGCAGTACATGATGTGATTGTGTGCCAAAACATGGTCTTCGAATAGCAGGAGTATAGAGTAAGATTTAGAATGGTAGAGGGAGGTACTTTGCAAGAGCTAAAGTTATGTAGTTTGTTTCCGTAAAACAAACTTTTAAATGCTTGTATGTGCAAGGCACACAAAGATGTGTCACCTGAAGCAGGGGGCAAGAGGCATAGCCATTCCCCTACATTACTGAAGCCACACATGATGTACTGTGATTACAATGTAGTGTGCTAAATGCTACAGGGGAATGTTCTTCAAAGGGCACCAGGCAACCATGTAAGAAGGACACCTAAACAATGGAAGAAGAGGTGTAGATTTTTTTATTCCAATACAATTTTAAAATGTAGACATGCCCAGTAAAGAAGTGCTAATTTGGAGATGATGTACTTCATTTGATATAGTAGACTGAAGCCTTTTTAAGGGCTCTATCAGAGCAATTAAAAACATTTTTTTAATATAAACTTTTTAAGGTATATAGGCATTTACACAATTTGTCCTGTTTCAGCAATTTTAAATGTCATACATGGAATGCAGTTAACAGGGCATCTGTCCTTCAGCAACAAAATTTCCAATGTCACATAAAACTTAAAAAGTTCCAGTTTAAATACAAATCAATATCAGTTGAAAGCAGAAGTTTCCAGGCTTATATCTTCAGAGGAATATCCCCAGAGAAAATAAAAATTTTGAAGTCATCTTTTGACAAATTTTAATGGAAGTATTTCTCACTCACTAATTATATAACTAATCATTCATTTTAAATTGAACATGTGTTCCCATGATTGTCAACTTTTTTATCTATACATTTATAAGTTGATAATTAAAAATTGACATGCACACAGTTATGTATATACTCCATAATGAAGATTTAATATTCTTATCATTAAAATAAAAACAAGTATTACTTTAGAACCAAAAATGTTCTTCACAGTAACCCCAGCAAAATCCATGTGTTATTTTATCTTGCTGTATTTCAAAAATAAATCAACAGACAGATTAAAATAAAATATATCATTAAAAGTAATATGAAACCTCAATTTGCCAAATGCCGAAGAATTAGACAAATGAGAGCTCCTGGAACAAAAGGTGTCAAAGCTTTATTATTCAAATATAAATAGTAAAAGAAATTCAGAAGCTTTTCGGGAAAATGAATTCCATCTCTGTTTAGAGAAGCTCTCAGAGTTTAGTGCATCTAAGAGTTCAGGTCCTACCATTTGGACTGGCATTGAAGTGGCCAAAGGAAATTTTTCTTCAACACACACATGAGCTGATTTATTTCTTCATCACTACTTTACTACATTACATAGGTGAGCAATTTTTCCTACTCAGATTCACAGAGCAACTCCGTAAATGAGCTATTCCTCAAATCCCAGACTACATGGTAGAGAGGGGCACTGGGAAGAATTACCTCTGTCTGAAGGCTGTTCAAGTGGAGGATCAAATAAGGATGTCTTCCTTCGAACTAGGGTTAAATGCACCACCTGCCCTGCATTTCTTAGTACTTCAACAACATCTTTGTTGTCAAAACCTTGAATATTCACACCATCAACCTAAAATGTTTAGAGACACATTAAGGAACAGAGATTTCAAGTTAGCTACTATTTTTAATCCTGGCAAAATAGCACAAAAATAGGGAATTCATTTTATTCCCTACATAATTTGTATTAGATTTTAGAAAGTATTTCTTAATGAGAATGCAAAACTACTAGTAAAATGTGCTGAAAGGGTCCTGACAAAGCAGAAAGCAAACTCATACCTATATCCTAAGTCACACATTTTACCTAAGAATTTGACAGAGGTTCTCTGATGGTATTCAAGATTCAAAGTGCCACAAAAGATGGTTAATTGTTATACATTGGTCTCAAGATGTATTAATAGATGTTATTATCATTAAGGAGCCCTGGTGGCGCAGTGGTTACAAGCTCAGCTGCTAATGGAGAGGTTGACAGTTTGAATCCACCAGCCACTTCTTGGAAACCCTATGGGGCAGTACCACTCTGTCCTATAGGGTTGCTACGAGTCGGAACTGACTCGACGGCAACAGGTTTTAATGTTGGTATTATTGGCAAGGAGCCCTGGTGGCACAGTGGTTAAGAGCTACAGCTGCTAATCAAAAGGTCGGCAGTTTGAATCCACTGGCTGCTCCTTGGATACCCTATGGGCCAGTTCTACTCTGTCCTATAGGACTACTATGAGTCAGACTCAACTGCAATGGGTTTGGCTTTTTTTATTATCATCAAAGGTCCCTGAGTGATACAAGCTGTTTCCTCCTGGCTACCAAGGCCTGGTTTCCATAAAGATTACCCAAAACCTAACCTGTTGCGGTTGAGTCGATTCCAACTTATATTGACCCTATAAAACAGAGTAGAACAGCACCTAGGGTTTCCAAGCCTAAAATCTTTACAAGCAGACTGCCACATCTTTCAGTAATGGAGTAGCCGGTGGGTTCAAACCACCGACCTTTCAGTTAGCAGCCAAGTGCTTAACCACTGCACCGCCAGGGCTCCTTTCCACAAAGATTACAGCCGAGAAAACCCAACGGAGCAGTTTTACTCTGTAACACATGTGATTGCCATGAAAAGGAATCAACTCAATGGCAATGGGTTTGATTTTTGGTTTGGTTTATTATTGTCAGAATCAAAGAGGTCATCAAATGCTTGCTTTCTCTATCATACTAGACCTTCAGACCCTGCAAAACACCAAAAGTTATTACTGTAAAATTCATTACTGTAAAAGCCAAGAGGTACTTCCTTAGATGGCCTTGAAGGACAAAGATTCAAATCATACCACCAAACATTTGTTTCTATGTAAATCATTAAATTACAGACAGAAACACTAAAAAAAACAAAGTTGCTCTCTTGTCGATTCTGATTCATAGAGACCCCATGTGTTTCAGAGGAGAATTGCACTCCACCATGTTTTCGTGGCTGTGACCTTTTGGAAGCAAATCACCAGGTCCTTCTTCCGAGGTACATCTGGGTGCATTCAAACTGCCAACCTTTTAGCTAGTACTCCAGCACTTATGATAGTTACCTAAATATAGATACATATATGCCTCAAAAATATTGCTCAAAAAACTATAAAATGTAACTAATTTCTACTGAATAGGGGAAAGATCAGTCTGAATCAATAAAAGGTAATTATTATGTATGACATATTCCAATTTTGGGTGTACTCAAAACAACTATTACAAAAATTATTTTCATGAAGAGATTAAAAGAGCTGGTAATGGCATATAATTCCATATAAAATGGTTAAGTTTGAAAAACACAAAGAGATGCTTTAAAAGTGTTTTCTAGAAGAATGCTAGAATATCTTTCAAATATACATGTTTCAAATATTATATATAAGGAAGCCTGGCTGCGCAGTGGTTAAAGCACTCAGCTGCTAAACAAAAAGCTGGCGGTTGGAAGCCACCATTCCACGGAAGAAAGATGTGGCAGTCTGCTTCCATAAATATTTACAGCCTTGGAAACCCTATGGGGCAGTTCTACTCTGTCCTAGGGTTGCTATGAGTTAGACTCAACTCGACAGCAGTGGGTTTGGTTTTTGGTGGGTTTATTGTTACAGAACCTTTTCTTCATGGACAGTCAAAAACAAAATTCAAATTTAGAATCATTAGAGTCCAAACTGGGGTTCTTGGGGGGGGTGTAAACAATTAATACTTTCAGTTAGCAACTGAAAGGTTGTAGGTTCAAGTCCACTCAGAGGTGCCTTGTTAGAAAGGCCTGGCGAACTAATTCTGAAAAATCAGCCATTGAAAACCCCACGGTGTCCAGTTCTACTGTGACACACATGTGGTCACCATGAGTCAGAATCAAGTCAATGGCAACTGTTAGAGTCCAAATTAATATTTAACTATACTAACAAACTTAATTTTTTAAAAAAAACTTATGAAAATATATTAAGCCATTCCCCTCATACATACAATAATAAAGATTAACCTTTAAAAAAAACAAAAAAAGATTCAAGTCTAAAACACAGGCCAGTTACTTACAGCAACTATTTTGTCATTCACTTGAATTTGGCCATTGTGGTATGCGGCACTGCCAGGTATTATGCTTTTCACATAAATCCCAGAAGCTTCCCCTGAAGGTGCACAAGACATATGGAAAATAGGAAGAAAGCACTAATTAGACCTTGATTGCAAAATTCATATCAAGAAGTTAATTAGCTAAACGGGCTGACTGGAGGCTTTATAAATACTGTTTTGAACACAAGCAGAGAAATTGATGGATTATTTCAAACTGACAACATCACAAGTGACCAGAATTCAAAATGATTTGACTGATGACTATCTTTCTGAAAAAATAATCCGTAATGGAACCTTGATGAAATGCACTCCAGTACATGCTGGAATTCAGGAGAGCCCAGGGTAAGTCTGATTCTCTTTTCTTGGTCTATTTCCATTCTCACTGCTGACTTGGCATAAGCTTTCATCATTTTTCACCAGCACTATGATAAGAGTCTCCTAACAGGTCTTCCTGACCATATTTAGTTCAAAACGCATGTTAGCTTGCCAAACATAGAAAAAGGAAAAGTACACACAATCTTTAAAAAACTAGAATGAGCTCAGCCACATGAAATAATCCTTATATTATAAAATAAAACATTTAAACAGAAACAAATGACTATATAAAAATTACAACTATGTAAAAAGTAGTCATGCCTATTGGCAAGGACTAGAAGGGAAATTGGAAAAAAAAAACCACAGATCTGGATGATTTTACATTTTTATTTTTTAATTTCAAATGATCTTAAAATATTGTCTGTAGAATAAATATTACTGGATTCCTACTGCCTACATAATGAAATGTAAATTTCATAGACATGCATTCAAGGTGTTCCATAATCCACCCCAAACTTCTTTTCCTACTTCATCTTCTACTATATCCCTCCGCCAAGATGGAAGTCCAGACACACCAGACACTTGATATTCCAGCAGAATAACAAATATTTTCATGATTTTATCTCTTTTCTTATTTATTTCTCCCTTTCAACCTCATCCCTTGTATCAAAATCCTTCCCCTTTTCCATGCATAGCTCAAATATCTCCTTTGTGAATTCTCCATTTCCCTCTAACAATCAGCCTGTTGCTTTTGCTATACACCAAGATAGTTTGCTTTTATCTCTACTGAAACATCCATTTCATGTTCTGCATTCCACTTTGGTGGGTGGCGACTGGAGTCTTAAAAGCTAGTGAGCAGTTATCTAAGAGGCATCAATTGGTCCCAACCCACGTGGAGTAAAGGAGAACGAAGAACACCATAGGCACAAGGAAAGTATTAGCCCAGGAGACAGAAAGGGCAACATAAACCGAAGACTTCATCAGTCTGAGACCAGAAGAACTAGATGGTGCCCGGCTACACCAATGACTGCCCTGACAGGGAACACAATACAGAGTCCCTGAAGGAGGAGAAAAGTGGGGTGCAGAACTCAAATTCTAGTAAAAAGACCAGACTAAACGGTTTGATTGATACTGGAGGGACCCCAGAAGACACGGCCCCCAGACTCTTGTTAGCCCAAAACTAAAACCATTCCCAAGGCCAACTCTTCAGACAAAGATTGGACTGGACTATGGGACATAAAATGATATCGTGAAAATGTGCTTCTTAGCTCAAGTAGATACATGAGACTAAATGGGCAGCTCCTGTCCGGAGGCAAGATGAGAAGGCAGAGAGGGTCAAAGGGTCAGCAGCTGGTTGAATGGACACGGGAAATCCGGGGTGGAAAGGAAGTGTGTGCTGTCACTGTACAGGGAGAGCAACTAGGGTCACATAACAATGTATGTATAAATTTTTGTATGAGAGACTAACTTGAATTGTAAACTTTCACTTAAAGCACAATAAAAATTAAAAAATTTAAAAAAACATCTATTTAGTTTTCCTTTAAACAACTGAGAGTTGCTTACACGTTTGTCTCTCTGAATAGTCTTATGTTCACTTTTCTACCCCTCCAGAACTAAGCAAAGTGACCCATCAAATGTGCGATGAGACAAACAAAGGGAAAATGATTCTTAAAGACTCCATGATAAAAAGCATGTTGACCTTTACAGTGTTCTAGTTTTTGGATTCACCACACCACCCCCCTACAATCCCAAAAACTTCTTCTGAGGGTAAAAAAGTAACATAAACATTTGTATTTGGTAAAATAAACATCAGATTCTCTCAATTTTTGTAATCAGTTATTCACTTTCGTTTTACTCTGTATCTACAATTCTAAACTTACAGGAAATACCCTAAAATCTTAATATAATAGAGGTTCAAAAGCCATAAGTTTAGGAACTAAGCCATGATTCTTCTAACTAGACCTAGGATATTGAGAAGTTACTTAATATGGCTTTTTGCAACATTATTATACAATCCATACTTAGCGTTTGGAACTCATTTAAATTCTGAACCTAAAAAAGGTGGCACTTAGAAGAATCTAAAGGTTTGAAAACAGATATTTCATTAGGCTAAAATAGCACAAAGTGGTCTGACATGAATTTCATTCAGGACTTTGAATACATTAACACTCTTAATTTTTCCACCTGCTCTAAGTATGCAAGATAATTTTTTTAAAGAAATAGATTCTCTAATCTTGCTATTTAAAAAAAACTAGAACATTTCATAACTCTGAATTTTCATGTTGCTAGCTAATATTTGTGGGAAAAGGTTTATTTTTCCTTACCCTAATAATTCTGTTAAAGTAAAGTAACTCTGACAGTGAAAATTACCAAACGTTTGCATATAGGAGTTGAGGGAGTATTATTCAGAGATACTTGGGCCATGTATTTATTCTCATAACATATTCTCTCTATAGGAAAGGAAAATAACTCTAATTAAAATAAAATTGTTTTATCTTTTTTTTTTTAGTAATTAAGCATAATAGCAATACTTTCTTGAAATCCACAATATGAAATATATGCAGTAATCATTGTTATCACATATGTAACAGTCACAATATTAAAAATATAACCATTTTAGAAACAAGAGGAGGTACAATTCAAATGTTATCCACTGAACTGGACAATTAAATTTTTTTTGTTAATGACTATCAAGCCAGCTATAAAAGTACTGAGATAAAACTGTGTTAATCATTGAAAAGTAACTGGCTGCTATTACAGATCCACAGTTTTATTGTTCAATGTTTAAATTGAAATCTGTAAGTATTTAATTTTACTGTCTAGAAACCTTAACATTCTTTACAATTACTTCCAAATATAAAATAGAAATTATTCATTTACCTGTATGAGAATTTCCAACATAGCCAACAATTCTAATTCCTAGACTCTGCCCATCCTGTTTAATGAGTTCAACATTGTAAGTTTCAAAAAGAGTAGAATTGTCCTAAAAGGCAAAACATAATTTCAATTATATATAATGTTTAGCTACATAACTATCTGTACATAGTCAACATGTGCATAGTTTGCCAAGCATTTGCTTGGCACCTGTGTTAGGCAGAATTTTAATATGGTCCCCGTGAACTCGGATCCCTGGTGCTGCTCCCGCATTTATGTGACATTACACAGCAAAAGGGAGATTATCTGTGTAGGCCTAATCTAATCACAGGAGCCCTTTAAAAGCAGAGTTTTTTATAGCTAGTAGTAGAAGAGAAAGTGAGAAAGATTGAAAGTGTAAAATGGACACACAATTGCTAGTCTGAAGATGAAAGGGATCATGTGAGAGGAATGTGGGCAACTTTAAGGAGCTAAAAGAGGTCCTCAGCTGACAGCCAGAAAGAAAGCAGGAACCTCAGTCCTACAGCTGCAAGGAACTGTATTCTACAAATACCCCGAGAGAGCTTAGAAACACACTGTCCCCAGAGCATTAAGATAAGAGCTCAGCCCAGCCAAACCTGGAATTTGGTCTTGTGAGACGAAAGTAGAGAATCTAGCCAAGTCCACCCAGACTTCTGATCTACAGAACTGCGAACTAAGAAACGGGTGTTGTCTTAAGACATTAAATTTGTGATAATTTGTTATGCAACAATAAAAACTAATACAGCGGCTTAGGAAAAATTCCGGGTAAGTTGGTATCTGAAAGAATTACAAGCATAAAGAAAAATTAGAAATAAAAAGTCAGACTAATTTTGTAAGTAATAGAAAAGATACCCACTTAAAACTATTTTCATTACTCAACTTCTAATCTAAAATATTTCTGTAAAACAGCAAAGTGCCTAAAAATATAACACCTTGCTTGTAATTCAAAGCATTAATATCAGAAAGTAAATAATTGATTGAGAGGTATTTCTAAAAGAAAAAAAAAGATGAGGAGAAGAAAGATTCTGGTAGCTAACTCCATTTCATCTCCAACTTCGTCGTAGTTTTTAGGAAAAGGACATTCATTCTACTTCTTGTTAAAGAACAATGAGGAAAATTTACATTTTAGCTTTAGTTCCCTCAATAAACCATTAAGATGACAGGACAAGAATCTGGAAAGTGTGTGGGGAGGGTGGAGCCCTGGTGGCACAATGTTAAGAGCTTGACTCAAAAGGTCGGCAGTTCGAGTCCACCAGCCGCTCCTTGGAAACCCTATGAGGTAATTCTACCTGTCCAATAGGGTTGCTATAGGGTCGCTATGAGTCGGAATGGACTCAGTAGCAACAGATTTTGTGTGAGGAAGGTGGTAAACCCACAAGAATAAAGAAATGAAGTATACATTTGGCCTTTACTTTTAATATAAAATATTTCCTTGACAGGTTATTTTCTACTCTAAATTCAAGTACTGTGAAAATCATACAGCAACTATGTAAAAATTAAGTGAAAGGTTGAAAAAATGGCATTTTCTTTGAGGAGAACAGGGAAAATATAAAAGCTTCAGTAGAGGAATAAAACGAATAGGAAAATGCTATTATAAAATATTATAAGAAGAATACTCATAAGAATTATAAGGGCATTAAACTATTACCTTTAAAGAAAGAATCAAATATTAGACACCTCAGAAGGAAACATTTTACTAGCTCTCTGATTCTGATTTTTAAAAATACATTGCATATATAATTGACAGCTACATGACAATGGATAATTGAGACCTGCTAAACCACTTGTCATGAAGTTGATTCCAACTCATGGCAACCTCGTGTGTGTCAGAGTAAAACTGTGCTCCAAAGAGATGTCTATGGCTGGTTTTTTGGAAGTAGACTGTCAGGCCTTTCTTCCGAGGCTTCTCTGGGTGGATTGGAACAGCCAACCTTTTGGTTAGTAGCCAAGTGCATTAATTGTTTAAACCACACAGAGACTCCTGAGACTTGCTAGATTATGAAATTATGCCACTGGTGTCACAGAGACGAATTTCAAGTTTCCTGGAGGGCCTGAACAGTTTTTAAGCTAACACTCCACAAAGGTAAGGTTCAGTGGATTACTGTGCTAATGAAATGAGCTCGACTATAAAATTTTGAGATCTACACAAATGAGAATGTCTTTTAATTTTCACCACCCCAGATGTGCATGAAGTTTCCACTTATCATACAGCTACATTGGTCCCTCACTATGAAGCAGAAGGCTCCAGAGAATTAGAGTAATGAAGGGAAAAGAAAATGACTGTACCCACAACATGGAAAAGAAAATAATAAAAATTTTTAATATCACAGACAGAAAATTTCCATTCATGTGGTTCCAAACAGAAAAAGGCAGACAACTTTCTAGAAGACACAAAATGACCCCTCAGATGATCATAGTGGCGTTGTACCTCTTCCCACCGTAACCGCTCCTGTTTTCTTTCCTTTTCCTTCTGGCTCCTCCTTTGTTAAACTACTTGTTTTCTTTTGCCTCGTTATCTCTTCATTCAGAGCCAGTGAGATTGCTGGAAAAAGTTCGATCTGAACCAGAAAGATCCAAATTCAAATCCCAGCTTTGCAACTTACTCCCTATATGACCTTTAACAAGTTAATTTATTTGGACTTCAGTTTCCTCATCTATAAAATGTATGGTAAGACCTATCTTGCAGGATAATCACGAAGATTTCAGATGACCTGGGCAATTCCATGTGCTTCATAATGGTTAATTATAATTATTATTTTATAATAGTAATTATCAAAATAAATTATTATTATTAACATATACAGGCATATCTCGTTTTACCATGCTTGATTGACTTTATTGCACTTTGCAGCTATTGCAATTTTTACAAATGAAAGGTTTGTGGCAACTCCGCGTCAAGCAAGCCTACCAGCACCATTTTTCCAATGGTATGTGCTCACTTTGAGTCTCTGTGTCACATTTTGGTAATTCTCACAATATTTCAAACTTTTTCATTTATTATTACATCTATTATGGTGATCCATGTTCAGTGATCTTTGATGTTACTATTTTAATTGTTTTGGGGTGCCACGAACCGTGTCCATATAAAACCGCAAACTTAAGCGATAAATGTCGTATGTGCTCTGACTACTCCACCGACCGGCCGTTCCCCCATCTCTCTCCCTCTCCTTCGGCTTCCCTATTCCCTGAGACAAAACAATATCGAAATTAGGGCAATTAATAACCCTACAATGGCCTCTAAGTGTTCAAGTGAAAGGAAGAGTCAGACATCTCTCACTTTAAATCAAAAGCTAGAAATGACTCACTTAGTGAAGAAGGCATGAGGAAAGCCGAGACAGGCCACAAACCAGGCCTCTTGCGCCAAACAGCCAAGTTGTGAATCCAAAGGAAAAGTTCTTGAAGGAAATTAAAAGTGCTACTCCAGTGGAAATAGCAAGAGAACTAGAAGTGGAGCCTGAAGATGTGACTGAATTGCTGCAATCACATGATAAAACTTTAATGGATGAGGAGTTGCTTCTTATGAATGAGCAAAGTGGTTTCTTGAGATGGAATCTATTCCTGGTGAAGATGCTGAGAACACTGCTGAAATCACAACCAAGGATTTAGAATATTACTTAAACTCAGTTGATAAAGCAGCGGTAGCGTTTGAGAGGATTGACTCCAATTTTGAAAGAAGTTCTACTGGGGGTAAAATGTTATCAAACAGCATTGCTTGCTACACAGAAATCTTTCATGAAAGGAAGAGTCAACTGATATGGCAAACTTCATTTTTCTTATTTTAAGAAATTGCCACAGCCACCCCAACCCACAGCAACCACCACCCTGATCAGTCAGCAGCCATCAACATCAAGGCAAGGCCAACCAGCAAAAAGATTGCAATTCACTGAAGGCTCAGATGATGGTTAGCATTTTTTAGCAATAAAGTATTTTTTACTGGGAAACCAAAAAATTTGTGTGACTCCCTTTATTATTTGCTTTATTGTGGTAGTCTGTAACCAAACCCGCAATATCTCTGAGGTATGCCTATATTGCCTTTTGCAGAGGCCCCAGGTGGTGCAAATGGTTAATGCGCTCAGCTGCTAATCGAAAGGTTGGCAGTTCAAGTCCACACAGTGGTGTCTCTGAAGAAAGGCCTGGTGATTTACTTCCAAAAAATTAGCCATTAAAAATGCTACAGAGCACAGCTCTAATCTGACACACATGGGATCGCCATGAGTTGGCATCTACTTGATAGCAACTGGTTTTTACTGGTATTGCCTTTCGCCAGTATGTTCCTATCATTGATAATTCTTACATACTGACCAGTATTTAGCTTTCCCTGTACCATCTGGATGTCTTCTCATCAACTTTTTGAACTAGACACGGCAAATAGTATTGTTTTCCTAATTACAGATGTGTAGTTAAAGCTCAGGGAGGTTGAATGACTTAAAACTGAGTAACAGCAAACAAGGAAATCATACATATCTAGTGTCTCCAGATTGGGTTCTCCTTCTGCCATGCTTCTCTGGTGAGCATTTAGATACTACTCACACAATGGAGTACTCCAAGTTGAGGGAATTTCTAATCTTGCAGTGTATCATACCTAGTATTTAATTTAAGATAAAAGAATGATTTGTATACTCACAGAACCAGGGCTCCTGTTGGCTTGAGCAGGCAGGGCAACAGGTAAGGCTGTAGGGGTAGGAGGGGTTACTGAAATTTCACCAGTTGGGTCTCTAGCAACAAGCATCCTGACCGAATTCCCACAGTTCCTCAGCACTTGTGCAACTTGCTCACTGGTCATTCCCTGCACATTTGTGCCACCAATCTTCAAGATGTGGTCCCCTGTCTGGAGTCTTCCATCCTTTAATCCAAGAAACAAAACAAAATTATTCTAAGAATTCAATGATCTTACTTCACAAGTTAACAACAATTCATCAAGATTTTCAGTTCTTGCAACACGGCAGACAAAGAAACCACCTAAATATGCTGAATAAAATATAATATTTTCAATGAATAGCTGCATTGGCAGCAGAGTAAAGGAATTCCTTGTAGAACAAAAAGACAGGAAGGCTTCATAACCACTAGCATGACTATTATCTGAAAAACAGGAAATAACAAGTGTTGGGGATGATGTGGATAAACTGGAACCCTCATCCATTGTTCGTGAGAATGTAAAATGGTGCAGCCATTGTAAAAGACAATTTGGTGATTACTCAAAAGTTAAACAGAACTACCACATGTCCCAGCAATTCCACTCTTAGGTACAGACCAAAAACAAAGCAGGGATTCAAACAGATACTTGTACACCAATGTTCACCGCAGCATTATTGAAATAGCCAAAAGGTGTAAACAACCCAAGTGCCCAAAACAGAAAATGTGGCATATACATACAATGGAATATTATTCAGCCATAGAGAAATGAAGTTGTCATAGATGCTACAACATGGATGAACCCTGAAAACATTATGCTAAATAAAATACGTCAGACACAAAAGGAAAAATAGTGTGTAAGTCCACTTATACAAAATACTTAGAATAGATGAATATATAAAGACCAAAGTTCATTTGTGGTTCCCAGGGGCTGGGGAGAAAAGGGGAATGGGGAGTTAATTGCTTAAGGGGCACTAAGTTATGTTTACAGTGATGAAAAACTTTTGTAAAGAGTGGTGATGGTTGCACAATATAGTGAATGCAATTAATGTCACTGAATTATATACTTAAAAACGGTTAAAATGGCAAAATTTTTGTTATGTATATTTTACCACAATGATTTTAGACTAATAACAAAAGACAATAGGGTTCAAAATGAGAACAGTAATCAGAATTCTAAATGAGCATTTGTTTGAGGGTTATCAATCCATGCCCAATGGCCTACAGCACGGGTGTTAAGGGCTATGCAAGGAAGAGAACAGAAAGCCCTGGACCTCAAGAAGGGAAGGAGGTCAGGTCAGAAGCCTCCAGCTTCAGAAACTCCAAAAGCCAACAAGCTCAGTGACATGTCTGAAGAACAGCAAGATGCCAACGTGAACAGAATGCACAAAGAGGAGAATAGTCTAAGAAGAGATGAGAGAGTTAACGGAGAGCCAGACAGCGTAGGGCATTTGCTCTGAGAGTAGGAAGGGAAGTCATTGGAGGATTTTGAACAAAAAGATATTATCTGACTTACTTTTAACAAGATCACTCAAGCTTCTGTGCTGAAAATAGACTACAGGAGAGGAAACAATAGAAGTAGAGATATCAGCTGGAAGGCTACAGCAATAATCTAGAAAGAGATAATAATAGTTCGGACTAGGTTAGCAGTTAAGGATGTTGGGAAGTAATATTCTGGATTTATTTTTAATGAACTGTCAACAAGATGTGCTGATAGCTTCTACAAGGGGTGTGAGGGGGAAAAAACGGAATCAAAATTCCCAGTCTGTAGCCTGAGCAACTGGAAAGATAGAGTTGCCAGTAACTGAGATAAAGAAGACTATAGAGTAATAGATGAGCAGGGGTAGAAATCAGGAATTCAGTTTTAGAGATGTTAATTTAGTCTGAAATTCCTACTAGTATTGATATCAGGTGTGCTGCTGGATATACAAATCTGGAGTTCAAGAGTGAGGTCCAGATTACACATTTAAATTTGGGAATCATTAGCATATAGGAGGCATTTAAAGTCATGATTCTGGATAAGTAATGTTCTACCTCTTAAACTGGGTGATATACGCATTGGTGATTATTATTGCTATTATTTAAAATGTGCACATACATTACAAATAGTCCTTTATATGTATATTCCATACACAAAAAAGTTTAAAAACATAATGTATCAAAAAGTGTATCATTCAAAATGTTTATCGTCTTTATTTCTTTGTTAAACTTTTTTTTACTAAATTTGTTTCATCAAAAATGTTAAATTCTCTTTACTTATCTTTATTACAATATATTAAGGATATCATAATTAAACATAGCCAGAGAAGGACAAATTTAAAATAAATTTAAAAAAGCTGAGATTCAGAAAGGTTGACTGAATTCACCAAGGTCAACTCAGATGGCCTATTCTTCTCATTTAGTCCTTTGCCTCATGTTTTGATATTTCCAGAGTGAGAGAGGTTATGTTACTGCAGCAAGTTAATCTCTTATGAATAAAGGCTGCTAGTAAACAGTAAATTTATTGTTTTCCATTTCATCAAGAAATTGCCTATAACTGTCAAAAATCTTAAATAAAATGAAGATGAAAAACATATATTGCAATTGGAAGAGCAGGAGGACAATTAGCCTGAGAATAAGAGCAATGACCCATTGGGTAATGGTTCTAAGCTTCCTATTACTGGTTCCAGGTGCTATTCTCATTTCTTGTAAATTGTAGATAAAACTCAGAAGGAGGAATTAAAAAAAAAACGTCTTAAGACTAAAAAGTCTATTCCCCATTCTTCTTTGCAAGAACCTGACTGAATGAAACAGTTAGGTCAGAAAAAAAAACTATGTGCTTTGTCTGAACTCTGCAGAAGGTGCTACAGGTGACTGGAAGTGGGGAGGAAGAGGTAATAGAAATGCCATTCAATTCATGAAACATTTGGAAAGACTTAGGAAAAGGAAGCAGATCCAATGAAGAAATTATCATTATTGAAAAAGGAAAAAAGTTACTGAATTTCTACTTTAAGTATTGATAAGCAGATATTCTGTTTACATCCAAGCTATAGACTTGAAATAAAGTAATCAACTACTTATGACAAAGTTAAAAGGAGCCTTGGTGATGCAGTGGTTAAGTGCTCCGCTGCTAATCAAAAAGTTAGCAGTTTGAACCCACCAGCCACTCTGCAGAAGAAAGATGTGGCAGTCTGCTTCGGTAAAGATTATGGCCTTGGAAACCCTACAGGGCAGTTCTATTCTGTTCTTTAGGGATGCTGTGAGTCGGAATAGATTCGACAGCAGTGGGTTTAAGACAAAGTTAGTGTTCATGATGAGAAGTAAGGGTAAAGTTGCCTTTGTGAATCAAATCAATCCTGAACAGAATTATGGTCTCACCAAAGAATAAAGAATATGTCTAATAATTGTTTTCATGCCTGGCTTGGCCAAAGCAGGGTATTTCAGCATAAACTATATATTTAAGTTACATCCTAAGTCTTATTTTTTTCCTTTTTTACCTCAACTCTTAATTTAAAATGATGTAGATAATTTGCATCTGTCACTGAAAGTCAAACATTTTCTTCCTTACAGAAAAACAGGTGTTCTAAGGAATTTATAAGTGCAAAAACAGTCATTAATCAGTTTGATAGGAAAGAAACCAAAACGACAGCTAACTAGTCTAAGTCCAGCAGCCCCAAACACTGCATTTTATTGCTATTTTCCGATCGACATTCTCTTTTTATAATCTGTCTACTGTGCAAGAAAACTAAACAGCATAAAGGCCTACCTACTTGTTCTTTGGCACCCTGTTGGCGCAGTGGTTAAGAACAAAGGTTGGCAGTTTGAATCCATCAGCCGCTCCTTGGAAACCCTATGGGGCAGTTCTACTCTGTCCTATAGGATTGCTATGAATCGGAATCGACTTGATAGCAACAGGTTTGGTTTTTTTCTGGGTACTTGTTCTTCAATGGAAATCATAAATGAATGAAAGCTAATAAATACCTATGACAAGATTCAAACACATAGCATGCTAATCAAACATTCAAATATAAAAATTAACCAACAGCAAAAGAAAAAAAAATCATGCATATGGTCATGTGGAAGGCAGAAAACTTAAAACAGCTGATGCAACAAGGTGTCACACTATTATCCTAAAAATACAAACAGTATCATTTATACTGTTAGAAAAAAGAAAAAATATTACTTTGCATTCTAAGTTTTCTGATAGGCTATCATGGGTGAAACCCTCAATTCAAAATATATTTAAAAACCTATAGGAATTCAGGCCTGAGCTACAAAAGAAGTAACGAAATCAAATTTGTTTCTTCAAAAACTAAAAAATGTCACCAAATACTTCTACAATTCAGAAAATGAAATCATTAACTAAGTTATAAACATATTTCAGGCCTGTTCCATCATTGATCTTTAATTAAAAGGCAACATGCCACTGATGGAAAGCAGTGACTTAATAAGAATAATAAACCACTCTCTCTCTAGGAATTTAAAAAAAAAAAAAAAACCCTGTCGCTGTTGAATCGATTCCAACTCACAGCAACCCTATAGGACAGGGTAGAACTGCCCCATAGAGTTTCCAAGGAGCACCTGGAGGATTCAAACTGCTGACCTTTTGGTTAGCAGCCGTAGCACTTAACCACTACACCACTAGGGTTTCCAAGACAGGCACTAAATCCAAGTACACTTAAATGCTTCTTGTTGTTGTTGTTGGGTGCCATCAGTCGATTCCGACTCGTCGCAACCCTAATAGGACAGAGTAGAACTACCCCACAGCGTTTCCAAGGCTGTAATCTTTATGAAGCTGATCACCAGGTCTTTCTCCCATGGAGTGGCTGGTGGGTTCAAACCGCCGACCTTTCGGTTTGCGGCCAAGTGCTTAACCACTACACCAAGGGCTCCTTACACCTATGCTATGCTACTCAAATTCCCACAGAGCCTTCACCAACTGATTACTAAGGATAAGGAAAGCATCTGCTTACAAGATCACTCAGAAAAATTGCCTGGGAATAACCAACTGTCCCACACTGGACCTTGCTTAATCAAAACTAAAAGCCTCTCATTCTCATAACCCACACTCACCCTTCAATCCTTCCTTGGTTCCATTCCTTCTTGATATTAAAGGTTACTAGGAGACAACCCAGGTCATCCAATTTCATCCCAGCTAAAAGGGTTGGGGAGCTGTTGTGGATTGAATTGCATCCCCCCAAAATACGTCATAAATCCTAACCTCCATGCCTGTAGTTATAATCCCATTTGGGAATGGGTTGTCTTTATAATGTTAATAAGGCAGGATTAGTGTAGGGGTGCCTTCAGTCAATCTTACAAAATACAAAAGAAGCAGATTAGGCCAGCAGAGATGGGGGAAGATAGATACCAAACCACATGGAGATCTCCAAGAAACCAGGAAATAGAGGCTGAAGAGACAAGGACCTTCCCCCAGAGCTGACAGAGACAGAAAACCTTCCCCCAGAGCTGGCACCCTGAATTCAGACTTCTGGCCTCCTAAACTGTGAAAAAATAAATTTCTGTTTGTTAAAGCCATCCACTTGTGCTATTTCTGTTACAGTAGCACTAGATAACTAAGACAGGAACTAACAGGCATTGTCCTAAGCACTTTACATTGGTTAACACTTAATTCTCACACAACCTTTTTGTAAGGCATCCAGAGGCTATCGATACAGTAAAGAGTTAACATACCAGGTCTGAGACTGCTATCCTTCACTGAAGACCTGCTTACAAGGTTGGCCCTTAGCTGACATCTGGGAACCCAGATTTTGGGAGGATTCCCACTGTTCCCTGCTAAGAATGGCTCACTGTGCCTATCTAAATTGTGCAAACAATGTGGTTTATGCTGATTACCTGCTTTCCTTCTGGAAGTCTGGAATTTTGGTACAAGCTGGACAGGGTGTGCTTATGTGACCAATCCCCAATAAAAACCCTCAGCAATGAGTCCGTAATGTGCTTCCATGATAGACATTTCACACGTGTTGTCACATTCATTGCTGGAGGGATTAAGAGTGTCTTATTTGTAACTCCACAGGGAGAGGACTCTTAGAAGCTTAAGCCTGGTTTCCTCCAGATGTCAACTCACAAAACTTTTCCCTTTCCTGATTATGCTTTGTATCCTTTTGCAGGAATAAATCTTAGCCATGAGTACAACTATGCTGAGTCCTGAGTCCTCCTAGTAAAACCTGGGAGTGGTCTTGGTAACCCCCAACACATCCCCATTTTGGAAATATGGAATCAGTTCAAGAAGTAATTTGTTCAGGGTTATAGTGGATCCAGGACTCAAGCCTTCATCTGTCTGGCTCTAAAGCTCACACTCTAGGATCCTATATTCTTTCCTTTAAAAAAGGTCTTTTTAGGATGTAAGTTAGTCAAGAAGAATTTCTCCAAATGTAGATAACAGGAGGGGTGTATGCTACCATCTTGTGCCACAGACTAGGGTAACAGGATGCTGCAGCTAAAGTCACTTTGTGAGTTACAGCGTAACATTAAATAGAACCAAGGAGCAAATGAGACAGGCATGAGGAAGGAGATGAATGGGTTATAGCAAGAAGTTTGATGAGAATTTTTCTGCTATTAGCCTCCCCATACTCCCAACAAGAAAGACTAAATAGCTGTGTTGTTTCAAGAGCTTGCTATTCCCTGATGATAGGGGTTTGACTACACCAGGACAGGTGTGCTTCTGGAAAAGGAAAAGTTAGGATCAATGTTGGACAAATAGATTTAAGCAGTTAAGCACTGGCTTCAGCGTCAAACAGGTGTGGGTGCAATCATGAGTTTGTCACTGCCTACCTGTGTGATGTTAGGCAATTTCTTAATGGTTTCCATATCTATAAATTGGGAATAAAATTTATAAGGTTGTTTTGAGAATAACATGAGATAATATATATTAAACAAAGAACAATGCCTGTCATAAGTGCTTTGTTTCTCCATTATCCATTATGAAGCTTTGATGGGCACCCCTGCCCAGCCCCATGCCTTCCTTGATGATCTGAAATAGGCAGGATCTCTTCCAGTAAAGTGTAAAAGTCAGACCTGGGCTGTTCCCAACAGTGCCTCAAAAGAATTAATCTGGGAAATTCTGCACACCAAATTCTCCTTGTGAAAATTCATAATGCACATTAGTATATTAAAAGCTCAGGGAATTCTTACAGTAAAGAAATCTATTTGATTTTGTTTAACCCAGTGTTTTCTAAATTTATTTGACCTCGTGTCTTTTACAATAACCACTCCATTTTGCATTTTGAAAAATGCTACTTCAACAAACAAGCCTACTAAAGTTGTTAAGAGGGTGAGGGAATAGGGAACTGACACCAAAATCTCCAAAATCTCTCATTCTTTTAGAGTAAATTATTTTAAAAAAGAAGAAAAAAAAAACTTAAAGAATATTATCTGTTTTGTGGCGTACAAGTGTTTTGAAGACCCACAGAATAACCACATTTATCTACCTGCTTCAACTCTCTAAATCAGTAGTTCTCAAACTTTTGGATCTCAGAACCTCTTTACAGACTTAAGTTACTGAGAATGGTGGAGTTGGTATTACAAAGGGGCACAAAGAATCTTTTGGGGGTGATGGATAGGTTCATTGTCTTGATTGCAGTGACAGATGATTCACATTATAGGCATATTCAACATTTATCAGACTGCATACATTAAACATGTATAATTGATTGAATGTCAATTATACCTCAGTATAGCTGCAAAAAAATTACTGAGAACATCAGAGAGATTTTATGTGAGTTTTACCTGCCAATATCTACTAATTAGAAGTGAGAACTGAGAAATTTTTAAAAAATATTTCTGTATTAATTCATTTAAGAATAACAAACTCATTTCATGTTAACATAAATAAAATTATTAATTAACAAAACTGTGATATTTTCCAAAACAAAAAAAAATTAGTGAGAATGGTATTAATTTTTATATTTTTGCAAGTATCTTTAATGTTTGCCTTAAAAAAAGAAAGCTAGATTCTCCTATCTGCTTCAGCATCCAATATGTTATGGTATGCTATTTTAGTTAAAATATATAAAGACAATCTGGCTTCAATCAGATATATACCTGGAAAAAGGAAGGGTATTTTAATAGCCCTTTCAGATAATTATAAATATTCTTTTTCATATTACACCAAAACTTGCTAAGTGGTCATTTCTTGGAGATAGCAGCTATGTGGAATCTGAAACTACATGAATAAACTTTTCAGACACTATGTTTCTTAAAATCCATTGGTCTGTTTTGAATTTTGACTGAATCATTTACCCGTATATTATTTTCTCACATTATGCACTGGTCTTCAGAAAATATTTGTTCACAGAGTTATGCAGACCATATAAATAATGACATATTTCATATATCAAAAAATCTTATTAGTTATTATCACCAATGAGCCAATCAGAAAAGTCTAAATATTAGGACGCTGTCAAGCTCATTGCGAAACACAAGTTTTCCAAAATTCTAATTTTTTTTCTTGAAAGCTCAAATTTTATCATTGCAAAGAAGTACCATCAGTTATTTTCCTTGAAGTGACAGGCTCACTTTAATCATTTTCAGGAAAATATCTGCCAAATACTCAAGTCTGAATAACCATACTTTGTCGGTTTTACTTTCAAAAATAAAAATGCTATTCCATAAAACAAAAGCAGCTAATTCATTTCATAAGTGTTTTTCCTCAAGACAACCATCATACTTCAGTACATAGCAGAAGTGCTTTATAATACTCCCCACTTTGTCACAAAATATTGAAAAGACATGCACTCAAAGGTCGAGATTAAATAAAATTAATAATTTTTACTGCATCATAAAAATTTTCCTGAAAATTGTTTTTTTATCTTTTTTGTTGCAAGCACATGGTGAAGAATGCAGTAACTATTAGTACAGTTTGGTGCCACTGTCGTGTTTCATACTAAGGCACCAGCAGTTTTATCTACCACTGCTTTTGCATCATCAGTGCAAATGTCAACACGGTGAAAAGGGGCTAGTAATGTCTGAGAATTATTATAAAAGTTGTTTTACTCTCATGGGCCCCCAGCAAGTGTCTCAGGGAACCATACTTTGAGAAACATTGCTCTAAATAAATATATTTAGATGCTAAAAGACTGCTAGGAATGTTAGTGGCTACACAATGGTGCAAATGGTTAAGGACTCCGCTACTAGCCAAAAGGTCTGGTGGTTCGAACCCATCTAGATGTGCCTCGGAAGACAAGTCTGGAGATCTGCTTCCAAAGGCTCACAGCTTTGAAAATCCTATGGAGCAGTTCTACTCTGCACACATGGGAGCCACCACGAGTCAGAATTGTCTCGACTGTAACTAACAACAACAATTTGTATAAGGTGGAGCAATGTTTATCAGAAATCAAGAGCCACATAATTTATCTCAAAGTGGGATTTGTACAAATTCGTTTCTACTTATTTACATGTTTATTTGAAGAAGTAAATTAATATGTAACTGGACATTAGTCAATGAAATTTACATGTCGTTCTGATTATGGAATAACTAAAATTAAATCTGATTTATCATGGATAGTCTATATAATATGGGCTTATATTTAGTGGCTTCATAACCAAACTTCTAAACACATAGTACTTAGCATTGTCTTCACTATAAAACTAAGCAGAAAGAGTTGATAATGTTTTTTAGTTCCCACTTTCAGTTTAAACATTGTTAACTAGTCATTTGACTTTCAATGCCAGAAAAATTGAATTCAAGTGAAATTTATCACATACAATATCGACAAAAGTTAATCATCACTGTACTTTTGGATTTTTACATTTAGGCTTTTGAAAGATACACTAGTGGAGAATAATATAGATATTCAAGATGCAATACACATTAATGACTTTTTTCAATTAAAAATATTATCCTCTCCTAGAATCAAGAAGTCTATCCATCGCAGAAAAACAATTTTTAAATGTTGATTTAGGAATTTTTTAAAATAAAGCAGAGTGTATATTCACACTTGTGAAATAAGCCATTTTTAAGCTATACTTAAATCCCAGTTATTGAATCATACATCCTAGTAACCCACGTAATAAAATTACATTTCATGCCATACGATTTAAATTCTATAAAACAAAAATGATAATAGAGAAGGTCAACTTACTCGATCTGCTAATCCTCCAGGAACTATAGTCCTCACAACCACACCACTTGATTTTCCTCCAACTATTCCAAAACCTAATCCAGAGCCATCATTAATGAGCTCAACATCTTCAACACGGCCCCAGCGAACCTAGAAATTAATGGCAAGAGTCATAAATGTCAGCAAAACAAAGACTCTTAGCTTTCCAGAGCAGTAATTACTAATTACCAGATATATAATAAATTGAACATTCATGTAATTAACCAAGGCAACTTTCTAGAGGCCAACAGATATATAAATATAATCATATGGTCCCTGCTCTTAAGAATCTTTAAATCCAGTAGAGGACCTAAAACATAAATAATTAAAATACAAGGCAGAATATTGGATCAGAAGATGCTATAGCTCTAAAAGGACAAGAAACATGTCTCATTTCCCACTCTATGCCCAGTACCTAGCATGGTGCCCAGAACATAGTAGGAACTCAATAAATATGTGTTTGCCTGAACTGAAAAAAAAAAAAGAAAATCATAGATATTAAAGCAAATGGAAAATGTAAGGGCAAAGCTGAGCAGAATGGGTCAAACATATGGTCAAAAGAATGGATTTAAGTAGGTAAACAAATGGGAATAATTGAAGGTTTTAGGAGGTAATGACAGGAATAAAGCATGGTTTAGGGAGATTAACCTGACAGCAATGTGAAGAATGAAATGGTGAGAAGGGCATGAGGTGAAGAGACTAATTTAGGAGTCTTTTAAAAGGGAGGTGAAAGGTAGGCCTGACTAAGAATATTAGCAATAGGAACATAGAAATCAGACTGAGAGACATAAGCATTTTTCCTCCATCAGGCTTCCATCAGAAACAAATTAAATTCACATAATCCAACTGCAGAGCAAAACTCTCCCTGTTAAGATCATTAGGGCATACTCTTTTTTTTCCTTTCCAAATAGTTTTTCTATCATACTAAACCGAAAAGTTAGTATGCAATGTTAAAATAACTAGAAATACTAGGAATATTTAATAAATTCATGTCTAGAACAGTATGATAGCAGCTAATATTCAGAGAGTGTTTACTCTGCATCAGGCACTGTGCTAGCGTTTCACATGCATCTCATTTAATCCTCACCATTGCTCGGTAGACATCATTATCAGTCCAAAATTACACACGATGAAAGGAAGGTGTGGAGCAGCGACATAACCTGCCCAGGGTGGCACAGTTAGGAAGTAAAAGAACTGGACTTGAACCCACCCAAGTCTGACTCCTAAACCCTTGTTCTTAACCAGTACGCTAAGCAATTTCTCACTCTGTTCATTCTATTTATTATGTAAATTAGTGCAATAAAAATATTACTGATTACAACAGGGAAAATAGCTACATGTTAATTTGCACTGTGACCTTGTACTGTTCCCAGACTGTCTATTTTTCCTTTTGTCTCAATGAATAAAAGTTAAATAAATCAGCCAGCACTTAGTGTTATAAGAAAATAAGTTTAATTAGCTAGCATTCTGAAGATGCAGGCCAAAATCTGTAAAATGTTATGAAACAAGTTTATGGATTCCCAAACGAGACATATGCTTTTGTTTTTTAAAAATTGTTCAGTATAAACTGTTAAATGAGAAACGATTTTGTTCTGTAAGCCTTCATCTAAAGTGAGAATAGCAGCACAATTGGAAGAGCGTAGTCGACGTCACAGAACTGTGCGTGTAGAAATTTTTGAAATGGTGTATCTTTGGCTATGTATATTTTCACCAAAAAAA